CGTATGCATGTATGTAGATTGAATTTTGGCTGTGGTGATTTTGCCAGGTAAAAATTTTGCGAAGTATCGTTCGATACTGATAAATGTAACACTCGGCGTATAATACGAATTGTCTATTTGTTCGAATCACGCGCGTGATTCGGAGTTGTAGCAAACGTGAACAGCCAGTTTTACTTTGCACGCAGGGTGAAACAGGAAGCGTGGTACAATTGGGCAGGTGGTAAAAATAAAGCATGAATTTGTTCGCTCGAGGTCTCGTCTTCGAGAAAATCGAGTTTGAATGTCTGTCACGGTTGAGATTATCGCCTGTCGAATTCACACCTGGGAATCTTTTTATCGGCGTCCTCTGCTTCCTTGTTTACGTCTAAATTGTGGATAAGCAGTGACCGTGCTCATGAATAAGCAGACGAAAAAACGGAGGAGAGTAAAAATGTAAGATCCATGATTTTCATTCAGTTTCATTCGTCCAAAAATGTCCGTCCGCTGAGAATATCGAAATGGTCGAGCAATTTCTGCAACGTAAAAGGGTGCAGCGCGAAGGGGTGAAAATGAAAGTTAGGGTAATATTGATTCGACGTAAGATCGCCGGGGGCAAATCTTGCGAATCGAGATTGAGCTGCAGACGACATATTAGGGGAGGAAACGAATCGAAGGGTTGAAAAAGAAGGAGAGGGAAGGTGAAGCCCTAACGCTGTAGAAGCGAAGATGCTGAGAAGTTTGACGAAGGAGGGGCACCACTTGGATTACGGAAATGTACTCTGTCGTCGAGAAATTATGGATGCCGATTGCTACATCGATCTAGCAATTTCACAGAGACCGCCAATTTCCATGTGATCTTCGTCCCCGCTACCGTTGGTCTAATATTAATTAACCTTAAGCTACCAAGACCCGCGAGATTCGAGACTTGCACGAGCGCCGGTCCTTCGGGAGCTGCCTTGAAAGTGTACTTAAACAGTTAGCGATCCAAACGTTTACGCGCGTCCAAGTTCCGTGGAATATTGTCGGACAACATGAAGAGTACACTGGTGTTTCTATTAAAATGGTGGTACTGGGTCATTTTATCAGTCTATTGATACTTTATCGCAGGATAATTTGACAAATCGAACAATTTGCATGATAGAAAAAAATACTAACTTTGTTAAACAATATAATTTTAATAATTGGTTGAGTCTGAAAGGAACTCGACATGATACCAATTTTGACGAAGAAGTGTAATTTAAATTATCTAACACTTTCTGTACGAACAAAATGTAATTTGAAAGTGTTCACATATTTTCTTAATCTAATCTATACATCTACTGATACATTCGCAAGTCTCGTTAAAAATTAGCTAACATACAGAGTGTTACGTTTAAACGAGAACGGTGAAATATCTCACGAGGGATTGAAGCTATCGAAGAAATATTCCTACAGAAGTTGTTTCATATAAAAGAGTGTGTGGAGTAGTAGAGGAGATATCGAACATTTTGTTGTATAATATAAAAATTAACATGTTTACATTTGCTTTAAGTATCCTATTATCACATTGCATCTTTTATGATTGTACTACAAGTGTGAAAATGCATCAAATTTTTGTCCTTTTCCTTCTGCAATACACGTTAATTAACTGCCACTGGTACCCCGTAACCGGGGTAAAATTGCCCCATCGTATAAATAGCATTAACAACTAAAGTTTTACCTACTAATCTGAAGTTACCATTGATACTTAAGTTTGTTTCTTTATTATGTTAATTCGGACGATTAATGTGTTTTTAAATTAATTAGCTTATCGATGTAATTAAAGACACAAAATCATTAGTTATTGTGATCTGAACTTTTATTTACTTACTCACATCTTAACTAAATTGTAATGTTCGTGTGTACCTATATCTGCCAATGTTACCCCGTACTGCCAATCTTCCCCCAGTTTACGGTAATGGAGGAGTTATCAGAGTCAAGTTAATTTTTTCGTAATGGAACCCTTTACTTTTTTATTCACAATACGGTAAGCGTTTGTTCAGACGAATTGTACATCTAGCGACGTATCAATCAGAAGATCTTCGCAGAAGCTATGCCCAGAGAGGACGTAATTAAACTGGATAGGGGAGGAAGAAGCAAGGTATAAAGTTGTCCCGCGAGATACACCGGGACAGGTTTTCCCCGAATGCAAGGGGAATCTGGAGCATCAAGAGACCTGAACCACGGAATCGTATACTCCTTTGTCGGACTTACGTCTTTCTGAGAACGGCGGGAAGCGGCGCGGAAGGAGGATCTTGGTTAATCTTACTAATCTTCGCCGCTTGCTCCAACCTCGAACGGTGAAACAGTAGAATGGCCGGTCGAAAACCGCGGCCTAACGACATTACAGATCCCCCAATCAGCGCGAAGACCGGATAAAGGACGTACAACATGCTACGCTTAATTTCATTGAACCATTTGAAACAGACGTAAAACCTTTGACGTCATCAATCCACGTGCTTGCGATGCAATTTTAACCGTTTACGAAACAATCATCCTTCCCACTGAGATACACCGCTGTGCATAAATATTGGGACACCCGTTACGTTCCTACGGAAAGTATTACACGATTTAAATTACATTTCTTCGACGTAGTCGGTATCGTATTGTAAGGGGTTTCAGTTTAAACAGTGCTTCGTCCGATAATTTAAAAAACTATATTTATTTCGTCGTTGACTCAATTTACTCTCCTGCAATCCTTACAATTCTCACAATTCTTATATTCTTATAGTTCCTACAGTTCTTATATTTCTGCCCGCAGTGCTCCTAACGCGTCCTCTCTTGCCTTCGGGAAACCCTGGCGCAAGTTGAGGGTTTCTATCCGGCAAGGACCGCGTCGCGCGAGCACGTAGCTGGGTCCTTACCTGACCCAGCCCTTAGCGCGTGAGGGAGTCAGGCGTTGGGACCTGGTTTCTCCGCAGACCGAGAGGTCTGCGGGTCATAAACCGGCCCGAGTCCCTACCTTCACTCAGCCATATTCTTACAGTATATCGGTGAAAATGTACGGAGTGTTCACGCTATTAATTCCTAGCGTTTTTCTCGTAAATGGTGGTAGATTTGCAAGACAAAATTCACTGCAAAATTGTTCTCCTCAGAAAATTTAAGGGGCGATTCTGGAAGGCAAAATAAGACGAAAATGAAGAATAAACAAATTACGTTCGAGGCTTCACTTGTTAGTTATTAACGATTAAAATCCGCGCCTGAAACAGGCAATTTGCGTGCACAACGTAACATGGGTCAATGAACTCGTCTCGGAGTGAGCTTTTCATTGAGAAAAACAAAGGTCACTTGGAAATTTCAAAGACACCTCCAGATAAAAATAATGTGTGCCTGTCATAAGATATCCCCGTCGAAACGGAGCAAATTTCATTTAAAAAATTTCTTCGATTAACTAATAGAGAGATTGTAATTTAATTAAAGATTACTATTTAATGAAAGATAAAATTCCTTCTACCGATCGATTCTAAATAATAAAAACTTATACTCGTTTTAACCTTTTAACTTGTTTAAGATTATAACGAGTCACTCTGTATATAAATATTTAATGAGAGATAAAATTCGTTGCAAGAAAAAATGACACTCGTACGAACCTTTTGAAAAGGCTTAATATTATCTGTCTCCTACTTCAAAAGATTGCCTCGTTTCTCAATCATTTAAGCATTTCTATAACAGAATTAACTGTCATAAACATCAAGAGGCTTAAATTGTTTTTGCTTAGTACTGAAGGTGGTCCACAGTAAATTAGATGGGTTTATCGACTCGTGGGTTCCGAAGCATAGAACAGAATGAGGGAAACAAGCTGTTTTTGCAGAGTTCTCTACAAAGTTCCGGAGAATACTACAGTTTGAACTGTTCACGTAGCTCGATATAAACAGCTTCGAGCCTCCACGAATTTCCTTAATTGAACACAAACGTGTATCAGTGATCGTATCATCTCGTACACTGTCTTCAAAAATCCTTTTCTTCTTACTGATAAAATTTAATAAAATCTATTTAACAATAAATCTTATTGCATTTCCGTTTTATCTGCTAATAACACGTGCTAATAAACAAACATAATAACACGGAAGCTGCTTAAGAAAGTATTACACATAATGTATATAATTGAATGGAACAAATAATATAATAAATTTTATTGTTTAAACATCGGAATTTAATAAATTTTAATGTGAAATATAGGAACAGCTGTCATAAACATTTACTTTCCAATTGTCGTAAACATTTCATTCAGATTTAACATAACTATCGCACTTTAAATAGGAATTGAAATATAGTAGTTATATGTACATGAAAAATGACTAATATTTGAGTATAATAAATAAAGCAGTCATTTATAATGGTTAAATATCTTGGTTTAATTATTACTATCGTTCGAAAGTTTTTATGAGTTTTTTGGCTTACATTATACGAAGAATTTTAGAGATATTGGTTATTCAAATGTGAAATTCGCGAATTATTGTTTAACGATCTTTGAAAATATTAATACGCCGAGTATCAGACTTAACTAGGGTATTCCTTAATTATTTTCAGTAACGCGTTGCGCAAACTGATTGCGAAACTCTGACGTCTACGATAAAATTCGATAAGTTGTTCATTTATCAAAAAATATTCCCAATTACACATCTCTCGCTTACTCGTCCAATACAAACAGAATTATATTTACATGTGTATTGAGATTGATGCAATTATCGTAATATTTCAAATTACAAAAACGCCTCCACTTTATCTGATTAGTATTTACTATCTCAAATTGCTAATTCCCATTTAAATAATTTAACAAATATCATTTGAAAATTAATACATAAACGAAAAATATTACGAATTGGAAGAAAATTGTTTCGTTCGAAAGTATCATGCGTTTTGTAAGTGTAATTTTCTTTAGAGATTTTACGCTAATTAACATGTCAAAGTTTATCAATCGGAATTTCGTCATATGAATGGCCGATAAACATTCCTCTTGTTCTTTCTAATATGTATTTTCTTGCCCCCCATGAAGATCATCTATGTCAATGAATCATTAGTTCCCGCCGAATCGTCGTCTTAGTTTGTCATATGACACGATTACTGCAAGTTTCCAAGTAAGAACAATATTTTTTATAATACACGCTTAAAGTCTTAATATTCTTGTACTATTTAGTCATAGATTATAAACGTATTCGTAAAAAAAATGAGATTCCCAGAAACGGTAAATAATTGTATACTACACAAATATAATGTATACATATGTAAATTTCTTTTAATTTATAGCACTATAAATTTCCCCCAGATTATATGGAAAAAATGTTTTAAGAATGAGAACTACTGAGATATTTCGAGTGTATCACCTTGCATATAGCTACTGTTTCGAAGGGAATGTATAAGAATTTAAATGATGGAGTAGACGTTTGAATGTGTAACAGGTCGGATACTACCACTGTGTTCTGTAATATATGTATATACACATACGTGCATACTTAGTACGTCGTGAGACTGGAATCGGTTGCTTACTATAAAGAAGTTCAGTCGATCACCGTCGGTCTTTCAATAAATCAGCGTTGATCTTATCGATTTATACGTTTCAATTTACATATTTCAAAGCAGTGAACAATTTAAGAAATTTTATCCTACGAAAATCATTAGGAACACGACGAATATCTTTCTTGTAATTGCAGATTTTTCCGTAGAGTTATGACGACAGACGTACGAGGAGTTGTGCTATCCGGCACCGATTTGGCGCAGTAAGTAATATTGCATTTAACTGTAAAAGAAGCGTATTCAATTCAGACGTAATTATTTTAGTTGAAATATATTGTTTGTTCGAGCACATGTTTGAAATACTTCATTGATGTATGAACGATATCTGTCACGTGGAGTTCTTTTTCAAAACAGAAAGTTTCGAAACGCAAATTAAAATTTAGACTGATTTTTCAACTGTTCAAAATCGCACAGATGTCGATAGTGCTCATTGCACTAACCTAATCTTTTAGATGTAATTGTATAAATAGAGCATTTTGAAATTACCGGAAACCCTAACCTATGTATGTCATAACTATGTATGTTATGCTTTTCTGTATGAGGTTCTACATAGTTCTTAAGATGGAATTACGTAATCATAAAAAAGTATTTATCAAAGTGTAAATACATCATGTACGATTATTATCAATATGTAAAGTCTTCGATGTTTACTGAAAGGATTATTAGTTGTATATAGTTGCTGAAGAAAAAGTGAGTATACGCGTGCGCATTGAACCCCGCCAACTTTAAATTTCTCCAAGATACACACGATAGTATTAGAAATATGCACACTATTGCAACTACGTATTTGTATAAAAATATTCTCAATCTATACTCGTAAATAAAGAAATGTAAAAATTAAAATGCAAAATTTCAATTATAAGTTATATAAAAATAGAACTTCAAGTAAATATCTTATTGAATTATTTAACTAGAGAATTCATAATTACAATTGGTAGACTATTGAAAATATTTATAGAATAATACGAAATTTTTTTATTTCTCCAGGGAAATTCGCGAAAACCTAAAAAAAGATGTGAAAAGACTGAAAGACAAACTACCAAATTATGTACCTGGCTTAGCAATTGTTCAAGTAGGCGGCAGAGAAGATTCAAATGTTTACATTAGGATGAAAATAAAAGCGGCAAATGACATTGGAATCGCTGCGGAACACGTCAAATTGCCAAACACCACAACGGAAATAGAATTGATAAATAAAGTAAATAAATTAAACAATGATCCAAATATACACGGAATTATCGTACAAATGCCTCTTGACTCTGTCAATCAAATCAATTCCCATATAATTACTGATTTAGTGTCACCCGAAAAAGATGTGGATGGGTAAGTTTTACATTATTTTTTATATAATTGAATTCATTAGTTTTTTTAAGTTTAATATTACGATCACGATAGTATGATATTTTTTAAATAATGTTGAAAATTCACAATTACGTCTATATTATTTTGTCAAGATTATAAGTATTGTAATTAAAAATGATTGTAACTATATTTCTACAACGAATATTTTGCAGATATCATTATTTATACAATATCCTTTTAAATAAATATATAAATTTAATTCACGTGCACAAATTGATCGATCATCACGTTGAAACTTTTTAAATTTTGGAATCTTTTATTGAATAATAAAATTATCTAAATAGGTGCCTTTAAAATTAGATTATTTATTAGATTACAAACATGTTACTTTTAACATGTAATACTTACATACTTACGTAGAAAAAGCATCGATACCATGATCTTTAACACGAAACATTTCGAATTAGGTGATAAGAGTGTAATCGTTGAACGTCGTTTATTTGAACGCATACAAACACGATAAGAACGCTTAAACAATGTTTCTTTTTTTTTTTTTGTCAACTTTTCGTTAATAAACGAGAGGATATTTTTGTCAGTATGCTATTATTAAACAAAATCTTAAATCACTGTTTCCAGGTTTTAATTATAAATGATCAGTAACAAAGTATATCACTTTCGTTTTTTGTTCGCATAACAGAAAACGTTAAAGAAAAATTCTATTTTCAGATTAAACACAATCAATGAAGGCAAAGTGGCTGTTGGCGATATGTCAGGATTTTTACCATGTACTCCAAACGGATGTATCGAACTTATCAAGAAGTACGTTTAAAATGCTTTCACCATTTACAGATTTCGTTTCTTCCAAAACGAAGTTATAAAATAAATATAAGAGTTTGGATATGCTAAAAACGGAAGAAATTTTTCACAGAATAAATATAACAATTATTCATTAATTAAATATTCTAAGTGATTAATAATTTCTGCATAATATACAGTAGTGTATAATATACAATACATAAATATAACATTTGATATAAAATAATTGAAACATTTTACAGGAGCGGAGTACCAATCGCTGGTGCTCAGGCTGTAGTTTTAGGTAGAAGTAAAATCGTTGGTACACCTATATCCGAACTATTAAAATGGCACAATGCAACAGTAACGGTATGCCATTCGAAAACACGGAATCTTCCACAAGTTGTAAGTATTGACAATACGCATTGTTAAAACAACAAACAAATAAAACCATAGTAGGAAAAATAATCATAAGAACGTTTTACGTTAAATATTCAATTTGATCGTAGGTTTCGCAGGCCGACATCTTAGTTGTTGCCATTGGTCAACCCCAGATGGTCAAGGGAAGCTGGATTAAACCAGGCGCAGTGGTAATCGATTGCGGAATCAATTCTATTCCAGGTAGACATAATTTCATGCTTCAAATTCATTAATACAGTTTTGATTTGTAATAAGCATTAAGGACGATAGAACATAGAGAGCGAGCGAGATGGTCGAGATATAAATAACACGTCAGGTTCGCTAATACTAGAGTGAGAAAGCATTCTGTACTTCTATTCTTCTTTTACTAAACGACGTCATTGTTCACGGACCTCTCATTCGTTCTCGGATCTCTCACTTGGCGGACGACTTCAAGTAAAGAAAAGGGGATAACGAGTTGCTTGCTATCTTGCTATATTACATTTTTAGCTACAAAATTGCAGACTCAAGACAATTTTGAAACTGACGGCAATTATTGTACTTTATGTTAAGAATTTGAAGTTGTTTTTCAACTGTACGATAATGGTAATGCTATCAGTTGTTATTAGTGTTTATGAGAACTTCTTTCTAATTTATCGATTATCTCCTTTCATAAAAAAAACTTTAAGACTATATATAAAGTGCAGTAATTACAAAGTGAATAAATTTATTTAGAAAATAATGAACACAATAAATATATTTATATAAGATAACCAATAATGATATAATCTAAAGAATTGTTTTAGATCCAACAAAGAATATCGGAAAACGTTTGGTAGGCGATGTAGATTATGCAGAAGCTGTTAAAGTATCTTCGTACATTACACCTGTGCCTAAAGGCGTTGGTCCAATGACTGTAGCTATGCTGATGAAAAATACAGTGATATCTGCTCAAAAGGTAGCAGAAAAAATGTTAAACAGTGAATGGAAATTAAGACCTCTGAAGGTCAATATACAAAAACCGGTACCTAGCGACATAATGATTTCAAGGAATCAAGAACCAAAACCAATCACAAGTGTAGCAGAAGAAATTGGTTTACTCCCCAGTGAAATCAGTCCTTATGGAAGTAAAAAAGCGAAAATTAGCTTGAACGTTCTAACACGTTTAAAATACCAACTAAATGGAAAACTCGTAGTCGTCGCCGGTATCACACCAACACCTTTTGGCGAAGGCAAAAGTACTACATCCTTAGGTTTAGTACAAGCCTTAACAGCACACAGAAAAAAGAATTCATTTGTTAATTTACGGCAACCCAGTCAAGGACCTACCTTTGGAGTAAAAGGAGGAGCTGCGGGTGGAGGGTACTCGCAGGTAAGTATCGTTTATTGATATGACAAACAATTTTAGAAGTATAATAAATATTTTATTAAACAGAAAAAAGTGCAACTAATACATTATTTTCAGGTTATTCCTATGGAAGAATTTAATTTGCATTTAACTGGTGATATTCACGCTGTATCGGCAGCCAATAATCTGTTAGCAGCACAAATTGATGCCCGATATTTCCACGAATCTACTCAGTCTGATCAGGCTCTTTACGATCGCCTTGTGCCAACTATTAAAGGAGAAAGGAAATTTTCTAAAATACAATTAAGACGTTTAGAAAAACTAGGTATCCTAAAAACTGATCCCAATAGTTTAACGGAAGAAGAGAAGAAAAAATTCGCAAGACTAGATATCGATCCGGAAAACATCACTTGGACTCGAGGTATATGAAGCACATATACATATATGCAACTTACGAAAACAAAATTGCTTTTTACAAATAAAATATACCTATTTCAGTGGTCGATATAAACGATCGATTTTTGCGTAAAATTACCATTGGTCAAAGTCCAACCGAAAAAGGTAAAACGCGAGAAACGTCGTTTTGTATTTCTGTGGGTTCAGAAATAATGGCAATACTTGCACTATCCACCAGCGTTGATAATATGAAGCAAAGGCTCGGCAATATAGTAGTAGCTTTCAATAAAAATGGAGAACCCCTAACTGCTGATGATTTCGTTAGTATATTTACTATATGAATTAAGAAATCATAAAGACTGCGTTGAATTATACAATAATAAATTAAACATCTACTTAGGGTGTGACAGGAGCACTAGTAATTTTGCTAAAAGATGCCATTGAACCAACGCTTATGCAGTCGTTGGAAGGAACACCAGTAATGGTTCATACTGGACCATTTGCAAATATCGCGCATGGTTGTTCCTCCATCATAGCAGATACTATTGCATTAAAATTAGTTGGACCAGAAGGTATAGTAGTAACTGAAGCTGGATTTGGTTCTGATATCGGTATGGAGAAATTCTTCGATATTAAATGTCGAACATCTGGCCACATACCAAACGCTGTTGTGTTGGTTGCAACTGTTAAAGCGTTGAAAATGCACGGTGGAGGACCTCCAGTAACGACTGGTGCTCCATTGAAAAATGAATATCTCGAGGAAAATCTTGATTTAGTTAGAAAAGGTCTTCCAAATCTACAGAAGCACATCAGTAACGGAATTAAGTTTGGCGTTCCAGTTATCGTTGCAGTTAACGTTCATGCGTAAGTTTTATATGTAAAAAGAATGAATTTTCTCAAAAATATTTTTGTATACTAAATATGATATCGTAAAACTATTTTAGGACTGATACACAAGCTGAATTGGAGTTAGTAAAACAAGCTGCAATAGAAAGTGGTGCGACCGATGCAGTTATATGCAATCATTGGGCAGCGGGTGGTGCTGGTGCTACAGAACTTGCAGATGCAGTTATAACTGCTACAAATAAACTTAGTAATTTCAAAGTATTATATGATCTTAATATTGGTATCGAAGAAAAAATAAACATTATTGCAAAAGAAATATATGGAGCTGGACAAGTCGTTCTTGCAGATAAAGTAAGCCTTAAATAATTTTATACATTATCGTTTCCTTTGATATATAATTTACATAAAAATATAATAATTACAAACAGGTTCTAAAGAAAATCGAAAAGTATAGTAAATTAGGATATGACAAATTGCCACTTTGCATGGCAAAAACATCAAACTCTTTAACGGGTGATCCATCGATTAAAGGTGCGCCTACAGGTTTCACGCTCGATATTACAGATATATTTGTATCTGTGGGAGCAGGTTTTATAGTACCTATGGTAGGAGAGGTGAGTACCTTAAAATCATAATAATTTACAACGTAATATGGACTTATAACATTATGTTTTTAGATAATGATGATGCCAGGCCTCTCTACAAGACCAAGCATTTATGATATGGACTGGAACAGCGAAACAGACGAAATAGAAGGCTTATTTTAAATATATTACAAGAAATATTCTGATGATTTATATTACTCTTCTTTACACATAAACCTAATAAGAATTGTTACAATAATTTTAATCAATGGATATATTTTATTCTTTTTACATGATACTTATAATGCAACACATTATATGACATGTTGTCAGATATAATAGATTTTATTTTATATTTTTAAATATCATAATAAGAAACTTACATTTTGTATTTAAAGCTTCTTTTAACTCTAAAAGTGATAGTAATTTATATCACTTTACTAAGTGCTCGTAATTTTGCAGAACGTGATCTTGGATTTATATTTATTTCTTCAGGTGTAGGTGTTACTACATGTTTATGTAACATTTTCCAAGGTGTTTTATTAAATTCTTCCATTTCAGCTGAGTTATAATATTTACCATAATTTGAATATTTTAATGGTTGTTTATTAGCCACAGTTTCTGTTATGTTTGCAGACATATGTCTTTTAACAATTGTATCTTCCAAAGAGTGGAATGATATTGTTACTAAACATCCATTTATTTTTAAATATGATCCAGCAATGATAATACCATAATTAATTTCATTTAATTCATTATTTACAAATATTCTAAGAGCCTGAAATGTCTTTGTTGCACAATGAGAATGTCTACCCAGTAGATCAAATCTTTTCTCAGAAATTACAGTTTCAACAAGTTGAGCTAATTCTTGTGTACTTCTTAAACTTCTAAAGGTATATCGAGCATTGATAATAGCACGTGCAACTTTCTTAGCTTGCTTCTCCTCACCATAAAATCTTAAGATGTGAACTAAATCTATTTCAGTTATTTGTTCTAAAACATCAGCAACTGTAGGTTCTAGTGGACATCGAAATCCATCCATCCTCATATCCAAAGGTCCATTTTTTGATAAAGAAAATCCTCTTTCAGCAACATCAAGTTGCATAGATGAACAACCAAAATCAAACAAAAATCCATCTATGCTACTTGTTTTCACTTTATATTTACAAAGCAATTGTGGTAATTCAGAAAATCTACCTAATAAAGGTATTACTTGACCAGGATATTTTTCTGATAATTCTTGTGCATGTTGATGTGCAATAGGATCTCTGTCTAATGCAAATATTTTCACATCAGGTGAAGATTCTAAAATTTTGGTCGAATGTCCACCAGCACCAAATGTCATGTCCACAAAAATTTTTCCTGGAGATGGCTTTAAGTAATGTAATACTTTTTCAACCATGACTGGTACATGTGTATTTTCAATATTATTCTCAGCTTCACCTGTTGTTTGACTAAATTTTCTATTATTTTTTAAATATGTTATATCATGTAGTCTCCAAAACAAATAATGTACAAATCTATTAAAATACTTTACACCATGATGGCTATGTGCATAACTTAAATACATATTACTAATTAGCATTTCTCTTACCATACCCAAACAATCTTGCACACAAATTAAAAAAGAATCCTCTATACTCGTTTTCAAAGGACTGTAATGCTTCTGGTGTAAGCATTAAATTACACTGTTCTCTTGTTAAACCAGTGGAACTACTTGAAAGAGTACGAGTGTATATTTGTCCATAATGATTAGAACAAATTCTCTTTAAGCTCATATAATAACGGTCACACAGTTCACGATTTACTTCACTAGCTTCACCTTTTGCAAATGCCAGTTTTAATTGATCACGAAGATGTTGAGATAGATCTCTAAAATAAATGGAAACTACAATTATATTGTACCATAGTAATAGTGAGTGTAATTAAGTTCAGAGTTAGTGATAAACTATAATACGACAAAATATAAAGACTACGTTTTACAGACCACAAGCGTTTAAAAACCTAACCTCAACATAAATTTCAAGGAAAATAAAAAATGCATTAACATAATTCTAATTATATTTATGGTAAAAATAATTTTAAAAAATACGAAGAAAAGATACATTTGTTTTATCTCATAAAATTACCTTCCAGGCTTTGAATTATCCAATGGCCAAGATTCTAATAACCTCATATAATTCCTATAGGAACCCATGATAACAGCTTAAACGACGCACTATATACCTAACAGACTTAACACCATAGACGAGGAACAGAATAGACCTAACACTCAATGAATCTTTTTTGTCTCACAGTAGCTGGAATTAGAACTATGTAAATGTAATTATGAAATTACGAATTAAGTATAAGATAGGATATCTTACAATTGTATACGAAGTACAGAATTCTACATTTCTAAATATATAATATATACACATATTGTAGCTTTTTGTAAAATATATTTTTTTCAGATATCTTACAATAAATAATTGACTTTTTGATAAATAATTGCATTTCTTCATTTTTACTAATGTTCAAGAACTTTCTTTTCTTCCTGTGTTGGTTTGAAAGATCAATCTATAATTTACACAAAAAGAACATTAGCATTTAAATTTTCAACAAAAGTTCTAAACAATTTCTAACTAATCTACTGCATACAATTCTTAATTCAATGTGAAACTAATAAATTAAGCTGTTTTATTAAATTAAATCACGCAACAATTTATTTAATACTTTCAATAATTATAAACTATCATCTAAATTGTTGTTTCATAAGGAACACTATTTTATAATTAAAGTATTTGAAAATAAGCCAGAAACTATATTTTACTATCTACATTGTTAGTAATGTTAAAGCAATGAAACATTGATTATAAGTATCAATGAAATGCAATAGGGATGAAGGTAGCAACAGCGAAGAAAGACAAGAAAATGTATTGCAGTTGATAAGGATAGCATTAGAGATATGAGTTGAACAAGGAAAGGAATACGAATAGACAAGTATAGCAGTAGTGCCATGTGTTAGACAAGGAAAGATATATGGTTAGATAAGGATAGAAAATTTACAGGTCAAGAGTAACGCCATCTCGTGTTTGGATCCACGAACTGACGACTTGTTACGCGGGTCACAGAATGTGAACAGAGGTATTAGACAAGGAAAGCACTAGTGTGCGACAAGGACAGAGAGAGAACGTTTCCTATTGGTCCGCGGACCGCCATGGTCCACCTTCGGGCCCTAAGTAAAGCCGGTCGGTGAAAAATTATTAATAACTCATTAATTAAGATGATTCTGTAAACTTTTAGAATTGAAGAATAAAGTGTGGACCTTTAGGAACTTTCACATATAAGTTTGAAGTCTCTAAGTCTTCTCAATAATTAGTTATTAATAATTTTAGTACGAGACGTCGGTAACGACAACGAATACCGTCGAGCGTCTTTACGGTTTTTCAATAATTTCATAGCTTTCTACTAAATTCCCGTGCAA